TGTCGGTGGAGGTGAGACAAGATTTGGAGGGGAGTGTGGCCAGGGTGGAAGGTCAGTGCCAAGCCGAGGCCCTGCAGCCCACCCCAAAAGAGAAGGTGGTATACCCAGGACTGTCCCTGCCTCTGGGGACAGCAATGAGCGGCAAAGCAGGCAGGAGGGCACAGAGGGCTTGAGGTCTCATATGTGGACAGGCACAGAGCACCAAGCTTCAGCCTCCCGGACATCCTCTGCACCCTGGGGTTGGCTAGTGACTCCAGCCAAGGAGATCCAGTGGTCAAGGATTGGGGAGCAGCCACAGGTGGTGGGAGGACACCTCAGGGGAAGGCAAGGGAACAAGGACAGTGCAAGGGAGAGAATGAGAACATCAAGGACACCAGAGGAAGGGCAGTGGAAGTCAAGGAAAACCAGAGGGAAGGGTAGGAGGGCGTTGGAGACATCACAGGGAGGGTGGGAAGCAAGGAAAGGAGAAGTACCTGTAAAGTTCCAGTTGACGGTGAAGCCGAAGGTGGGCTGGTCTGACCGGATTTTGAGATTCTGGTACCCTAGCAGTGGTGAAGGCTTGATGGGAGTGGAGGTGTTTGCCACTTTCGTAAAGTAGGTGCCATTGAAAACACCTTCTTTATGAACTTTCCCAATGGTCATGTTGGAGCCCAGGTCATTGGTCCAGTTCCCAGTCAGCACACACTGGAGCAGAGGGGACTCAGAGTTGGTGCCATGGCACAGCCTGGGCAAGGGCAGGGTGGCAGGAGCGGGCATCCCTGGGACAAGCTGCAGGTTCACTGTACAGCCTGTTCCAGGCATCCTGGCCCTGCTCTTACCTTTTTCTCAGGAAGTCCATGAGCCACCAGGGCCAGGAGGCTGAGCACCAGGAGGACGGGTGTTGCTCTCACCATCTCTGCAGCAGGCAGGCAGCTGGCGTACCCAGGGATGTGCTCCTTGCAGGGCTCTGCTGATGTGCCTGGCCCTTTGCCTTTTTATTGCCATGGAGGAGCCTGGGCCATGGGGAGCTGGGAACACACACTGGTCCTTGGGGTCAGTGACAGCAGAGGCCATGGAATGTCACTGGGTGGGATGCCAGGTAATGTGGGCACTGAACAGTGACACGACAGGAGCCAGTGGTGTTTCCAGCAAAGCTTTATTAGGGGAAGCAGCTCGTGGGGCAGGATCGAGGAGGATGCACAGCAGGACTGCTACCAGCCTGGCAAGTTCCCTACTGCCACCCTCACTTCCGTTGCGAGACCTGATGTGTGAAAGTGTTTGTGCCGACCCTAAGGGAACACAGAGGGAGGAGAGGTAAGGGTGAGAAAGCCCCATCTCCCCCCTCACAGCATTTGCACCTTGGTGGGAGAGACCCCCCATCGAGGTGGTGCATGGGCACCTCATCCTCGGTCACCCCCACACCAGCAGCAGCTCTGCCGGGCTCTGAGGACCACGGGCTGGGAGAGCCCCAAGCCCTCTGGGGATGCTCAGGGAACCCAGGCAGGGCAGGGACAGGGGATCACCTGGTGGCGTTCCAGTCAGAGCTGATGTTAGCCGCGTGTGACCGCAAGAGCCACCCCAAAGCTTCCTGCCCTGTGCCACCCATGAAGCACTGACCCACAAAGACAGTGACGGTAAATGTGGGTATGGGGTCAGATTTGGAGGGGAGTGTGGCCAGGGTGGCAGGTCAGTGCCAAGCTGAGGTCCTGCAGCCCACCCCAAAAGAGGGGATGGGATACCCAGGGCTGGCGCTGCCTCTGGGGACAGCGGGGAGGG